ATTATTGTCCCATCTCTATATATACATATATCTAGCGCTATAATATATACATACATACATACATACATACATACATACATACATACATTTGTATCTACACATATTGCATACACCATCAACTCATGATGGCAAACATATCTAATACCCCTGCCTCCTACAGTATTTTTCCACAACAACCCTAAGAGGTGGTTTGGGTAGAAAGAGATTGACTGGCCCTAAGTCACACAGCTAGCTTTCGTGCTTAAGAGAGGCCAAAATTCACAGTCTCCCAGTTTCTAGGCCACTGAATTTCATCTCTTAATAGAGATGTGCAATCCATTCACAAATCATTGTGTGCACAGAGCAGCCAGTTGCTCATGGTTTGTGCCCAGATTAAAATAATTCCAATTTCTATGTCTGAACTGAAATATACAATTCCTGGACAGAAAGGGCAAGAGAGTTGAAGGGACAGCAGGAAAATGAAATATTGGCTACAATTGGGGGAGATATGGAAAGAAAAGAGTTGTGTCGCTGGGGCTGGGAAGGCTGGGATGGGATGGCAAATATCCTTGGGTTCAGGTGCACCATATTCAACTTCTTTCCTAACCTTCTAAAGTCCTTATTTTAAAAAATGCTGTACTTGAGGTCAAGGACATTGACAGCAGCAAAGGGGAGGCAGAGAGAAAGGAAAACCCTGGGAAATAAGTGTGGGTGAATTGGTTGAATAGCTACTACTGCCAATGTTCTTGGCTTCAGGCTCAATGGTTAGAATACATTATTGCAGGCTAACCCTGGTGACTGTCAACTTCAATACACACCAGGCTCAAGGTTGACTCAGCCTTCCATCCTTCTGAGGTCGTTAAAACAAGGACCCAGATTTTTTTTGGCGGGGGGGGGGAGAGATATGCTGACTCTGTAAGCCACTTAGAGAGGGATGTAAAGCACTATGAAGTGGTGTATAAGTCTAAGTGCTATTGCTACTCAAGCAGTGCATGTATGTGGTTATATCGTAGGGAATGACTTACAGCACTGACTGTATTAATGCAGTTATTTTTTTTCTTTGAAGGTTGAGCTCCGAGACAATGAGATTGAACGTTTAGGACTCGCACTAGATGGCGGCCGTTCTCATGATGTAATCTCTCTGGAAGCCAAAAGCAGAAGTAATGAAAAAATTATTGATCACTTGAATTTGCAGGTAACACTGTTGACTGTCTTTCAGCTTCTACATCTAAAGCAGCGGTCACCAACTGGTGGTTCACGAGAAAATTTTGGTGGTCCGCAGAAAAATTATTTGCACTTTTTATATTGCACTAAATCAGGGGTCCTCAAACTACGGCCCCTGGGCTGGATACGTACAATGAGTGTTTGTATTGTTGCAGAGAGTCTCTCCCTTCGTGGTCTTTTTGTGTGGGTCAGAGTGGGAAAGAAATTCTGACTTGGGGTCTGCTTCAAACTCCTGGTGTGGGGCTTTGGCCGAAGGCTGGAGGGAAATACTCCTGGTGGAGGAGAGCTAGAAGGCCTTGTTCCAGTGGGACTGCATCATGGCCTGGAACTGGCTGACCATCTTAGCCTGCTGAGCCTTCAGGTACCGCTACCTGGCCTTGCGCTCCCGCAGGTCTTCCCTCTGCTTGGAAAGCCTATGCCCATAGTTCTCAGAGTGAGGTGCTTCTGCTGAGCCTCCTACTTGTCAGATCCAATTTCAACTGAGCAGTTTTGCCAACTCTTGCTTGTGGTGGCTGCTTACCTCCAACAACTGCTTCCT